AAATTTCTTGAATTTCTTGATGACTTATCAAAACAATAAAATGTGATATTGTTTGGTTTAAGTACCATTTCAAGGACTAGCTACACGTCTGTCAAAAACATGACTACACAGTATGTCAATCCATTACATCAATAACTACGTTAACTAAATGCAAATAAAATACATACCAGGAAGGTGCTTATTTACATACAGTCTGTCAAAAGTTTGTACAAAATGCAGTCCGTCGTCACTATCGACGATGAAAAGGAAATCTCAGCACGGCGTCCCGTCCATCTTGGTGGGTGTGGTGCCCGGCTTACAAATATTGGTTTTGCCCATTGCCCCTGACACCTCGTTGCAGGAGTAGCTGAAGAAGCCGCACGCTGAGGCCGCCGTGAAGTACGTGTGCGAGAAGGTCTTCGGGTCGCCGGCGTCTCCCCCCGCGGTGACTGCCCCGGGACTGTTCGCCCCCGCGCCAGCAGGCAACTGGCCGGTGACGCTCTTGGTGACGCTGACGAAGCCCTCCGGGACAGGCCCGGACACCGTGTCGCCGCTACGCACCAGGGAGCGGTTGTTGCTCCTGGTCGGAGGAGGAGTTTCAGCGAAAGAGAGCAGCACCAGGTCTGACGAAAACCACTTAATTCAGAAACCCTTACCTGCGCCCCCCCTGCCGCATCATGTTCCTCTTGCCTGCCTTCCCCTTCTTACCGCCACCCTTAGCTTTAGTGGCGTCTTTGACGGTGTCCTTGACAGAGTTCTGCTGCTGCTGGGGGATGCTCTCCATCTCAGCCTTGGGGGTGGGCCGTGACGAGAAAAGGTCGCCGCGTTCCGGTAGCCGCGGAGCTCCGTCCACGTACTTGGGCGGGCGCTGGCCTTGTTGGTGGCCGTCGTCGAACTCGGTCTCCTCCTCGTCTTCGTAGTCTTCGTACTCGTCAAAGTCTTCCACTCCACCGCCGCCCGCAACAGGAGCGGGCGTGCTGGCCTGCTGCTGGTGGGGCGGTGTGAACGTCGTGTCCCCCCTTAGGCTATTGGGCTCCTTGCTCGAATCATCATCTAATCCCGTAAATCGCGTTCAAACAGTTAAAAAGAACACAACAAAAAACGTGAAAACAAAAAATTACAGCTATAAACGCCGTGCCCAATTACCTGTTGCGGTCGGAGTTGCCGGGCTCGAGTTCGGACTGCCTGTTGGTGGCCGGACCTCCGTGTTCGTCGAGTCAAACGTAACGGTCTCGTTGAGCGTGGAGATGGTGAGGGTCTCGTTGAAGACGATGCTGTGAGCCGCGGTCTGGCGGGCCAGCATCTCGACCTCCTGCTCGGTCAGGGTGCGGCCGGTGCTGCTCGAACCCTTCCCGTCGATGACGCTGCTGCTGGAGTTGGTCTCCCGAGTGTACTGCTCCTCGACGGACTGCGACTCGTTAAAGGCCTTCATCGCCTGGAGGCGCATGGTGGACTGAGGTAGAGGACGCCCTGAGGCGGCCTGCGCCGCGCCCTTGTACGAGATGCCGTACCTGCAGGAAGGCACGTACGTATCAAGTTAGGGTGTACTTCACTACTCGCGCCTTTGCGGCAGAGAGGCGCGCGCGGGTCGCATACCTGTAGGAACCCTCGATCTCTGCCGTCGACGACCCAGTCAGGGGCCCGGACTGCGACGTGGCGGTGCCCCCGCCCCGGTAAGGGTTGGGCTGGTCCTGGTTCCGCGGCAGGAAGCCGATCTGTGCCTGCGACGCGGTGGCCCCGGGACCGCGGCTCTGCGCGTCCGCGATGCCGCCCGCCAGCCCCGCCTGCACCTGCGTGTTGGTGCCGTAGACCAGGCCCTGGCTCGTGGAGATGGCGCTCGTGCCGCTGCCGTCCAGGCCCATGGACACCTGGGTCTGCGCCTGCTCCCGCCCGCCGTGCGACTGAGCCACGCTCTGGGAGCCCTGGGGCGACCCAGACACGGACGTCTTGGAGGACTTGAGCTCGTCACCGGTCTGGGCCGAGGCCGCAAACGTGCCTGTGCCGGAGTAGCTGCCGTCAACCTGTCGGTCGAGAGAGGCAGTTTGAGAAGGATGTCAATGTGGGCAAACTCGACTTTTCGTGGTCACGCGGCTTACCGCTGTGTGGGCCACACCGGAGCCGAAACGGCCCTTTGACGAGGCGCCGAGTTTCGTCAGACCGTCAGGGGTCGACGAGATGCTTGATGTCGCGATGGCGTCACCCTCGTTAGCACCGAGTGGACCCGTACCAATAGCACCAGCGCCAGCAGCACCAGAGCCAGCCCCTGCCCCTGCCCCTCCTGCCCCCGGATAACCAGCGCCTGCCCCTCCAGTCCCCGGATAACCAGCGCCTGCCCCTCCAGCCCCCGGATAACCAGCGCCTGCCCCTGGATAGCCGGCCCCTGCTCCACCTGCCCCTGGGTAACCAGCCCCCGCGCCGCCAGCTCCCGGGTAACCGCCGGGATACGACCCTCCGCCCGCTGCACCACCTGGGTAACCACCGCCGGGGCCAGCACCTCCAGGGAAGCCTACTGCAGTCGTTCCACCTGAAAAGGGTTGCGTCAATTATCATTAAGCTAGTTCGTTCCTCGGCAGTGTTAATTCAACTTAATCCGACTCACCTGCTCCAGTTCCCGCAGCGCCCGTTCCTCCGGGATAGGCACCACCTGCTCCAGTGCCTCCAGGATAAGAGCCACCAGGTCCGGCACCGCCAGGATAACCACCACCCGCTCCTGCACCACCACCACCAACGACGCCTGGAACACCGGGAGTTCCAGTGACCCCGGGGTAAGCACCTCCAGCGCCAGAACCACCGGGGTAAGCGCCACCAGATCCGGCAACCCCGGGGTAAGCACCACCAGCGCTAGTGCCGCCAGGATACGCACCTCCTCCAGATCCCGCTCCTCCAGGATAAGCACCGCCTGGTCCAGCACCGCCGGGGAAAGCCCCTCCAGGGTATGCGCCACCGGCTCCAGTACCGCCAGGATATGCACCGCCTTGCCCCGCCCCACCGGGGTAGGCTCCTCCAGTTCCACTGCCACCAGGGTATGCGCCACCAGCTCCAGTACCCCCGGCGACTGTACCGCCAGGGTACGCACCACCAGGTCCAGCTCCTCCAGCTCCTGATCCCCCGGGGTACGCACCACCAGCTCCAGTACCTCCAGGATATGCCCCACCGGCTCCAGTACCACCGGGATATGTTCCGCCTTGCCCAGCTCCACCGGGGAAGACACCTCCACTTCCAGTGCCTCCAGGGTACGCGCCACCAGCTCCGGTACCTCCGCCACCTGTACTGCCAGGATACGCACCACCAGGTCCAGCTCCTCCAGGATATGCGCCTCCAGCTCCAGTGCCTCCAGGGTATGTGCCACCTTGCCCAGCTCCTCCGGGGAAGGCTCCTCCAGTTCCAGTGCTACCAGGGTAGGCGCCACCAGCTCCGGTACCTCCGCCACCTGTACCGCCAGGATACGCACCGCCCGGTCCAGCTCCTCCGGCCCCTGATCCCCCGGGGTACGCGCCACCAGCTCCAGTACCTCCAGGATATAGGCCACCTTGTCCAGCTCCACCGGGAAAGACACCGCCTGTTCCGACTCCACCAGGGTATGCGCCGCCAGCGCCAGTACCGCCGGCGCCGGTGCCTCCCGGGTATGCACCGCCTTGTCCAGCGCCGCCAGGATATGCTCCTCCAGCACCTGTACCCCCGGGATAAGCACCACCAGCTCCGGTGCCGCCAACGCCAGCACCACCAGGATACGCGCCGCCTTGTCCAGTGCCCCCGGGATAGGCCCCTCCTGGTCCTGCTCCACCGGGGTATGCACCGCCTGGTCCCGTGCCTCCCGGGTACGCTCCACCAGCACCAGTACCCCCGGCAACAGTTCCTCCGGGGTATGCACCTCCAGAACCAGTGCCTCCAGGGCCCACGCCTCCAGGATAAGACCCGCCCGTGCCACCTCCTTTCACGCCAGACCCTCCAGGGTATGCGCCACCAGCTACCGTACCTCCAGGATACGCACCGCCAGGACCTGCTCCTCCGGCGCCTGATCCTCCGGGGTAAACACCACCGGTTCCAGTCCCACCAGGGTACGCACCGCCTGGACTTGCTCCTCCGGCGCCTGATC